GTACAGTGAAATTGGCCGAAAATGGGGCTCAAAGTGGGCAAAATCGCCGATGCGTAAAGATCGCCGAGACCGCTAACTTTGCGACAGCATAATTCCGTAAGTTTTCTATCAAATTTCAAACTTTTGGTGTCGTTATGATCGGGAAAAGATTCTCTATCTTTTCATAAGAGAAAATAATTTTTTTTTTTTTTAAATTTGGCCGACCCTGAGAACGAGTTTCGGAGAGGGCCTGTCGACCCTCAAAGGGTTAATTCTGTAAGAAAAAATATTTTTTTTTTTTTTTTTTCAAAATTTCTTGGACACTGGAGCACCACTTCAGATTTTGGCCTTGGACCCTGAAGGGGTTAAATACATACATGTTAATAATAATACATGTTATTAATAATAACATGTACTATTATTATTTATAACGTATATGTTATTAAATACCACTGCCTCAACCGCTGAATTATTGTGAAATGTTTGGAAGAGCAGGGAAACTAATGTTCACTCCAGCATAAACAAAGCCACACTGACGATGTGTCAACCACTCCCTCGTATTTTTGTACAATTTCCTTCTTCAATTATATCGTATTTATTATTATTATTATTATTATTATTATTATTACTATTGTTATTATTAGCAATAGCAGAAATGTTCGATTCTTTGCTGTGTTCAAGAGTAAACACATGATGTCACCGTCTAATACCTTTCCTAATAGCCATTCCAATATGCAGTCATGAATGGGTTTACATTATTTATTCTGTAGTTTAATAGCAAATAATGAACAAACAAAACACTCACCACATTGAGTGGTGGGAGGGCTGGCTGCCAGTTGCGGGGGTCGGAGGGAGGGTAGTAGGGACTCGCAGTGGTGGAGGCAGTGGTGGAGTCTGTGGTATTTAATAACATACATGTTATTAAATAACATACGTTATTAAAGCATAACATGTATATATTTAGTACAATTTACGACGTTTTCATGTATTTTATGATTATTCATGGTTCAACAAGTTAAGGAAGCAGTATTGTAATATATTTCCCCACAATATATTGGGGCACCAAACATTCACGGTTTTTTAACATTCGCGAGGCTCTTGATCCCCTAACCCTCGCGAATGTTGAGGGAGACCTGTACATACATCTAGGTTTTTCTCCTTTTTCTAAATAGCTCTTGTTCTTCTTTGTTTCTTCTATTGTCCATGGGGAAGTGGAAAAGAATCTTTCCTCCGTAAGCCATGCGTGTCGTATGAGGCGAGTAAAATGCCGGGAGCAATGGGCTAGTAACCCCTTCTCCTGTAGACATTTACTAAAAAAGAGAAGAAGAAAAACTTTATAAAACTGGGATGGTTGAATGTGCGTGGATGTATTGCGGATGACAAGAAACAGATGATTGCTGATGTTATGAATGAAAAGAAGTTGGATGTCCTGGCCCTAAGCGAAACAAATCTGAAGGGGGTAGGGGAGTTTCGGTGGGGGGAAATAAATGGGATTAAATCTGGAGTATCTGAGAGAGTTAGAGCAAAGGATGAGGTAGCAGTAATGTTGAAGGATCAGTTATGGAAGGAGAAAAGAGAATATGAATGTGTAAATTCGAGAATTATGTGGATTAAAGTAAATGTTGGATGCGAAAAGTGGGTCATAATAAGCGTGTATGCACCTGGAGAAGAGAGGAATGCAGAGGAGAGAGAGAGATTTTGGGATATGTTAAGTGAATGTATAGGAGCCTTTGAACCAAGTGAAAGAGTAATTGTGGTAGGGGACCTGAATGCTAAAGTAGGAGAAACTTTTAGAGAGGGTGTGGTAGGTAAGTTTGGGGTGCCAGGTGTAAATGATAATGGGAGCCCTTTGACAAATCCATTTGCCTAGAGAACAAATGGATTTGTCAGTTAAAAATAGGAGAGGAGAGTTATTAAATGGAGAGTTAGAGTTATTGGGAAGATGGAGGGAATATTTTGAGGAATTGTTAAATGTTGATGAAGATAGGGAAGCTGTGATTTTGTGTATAGGGCAAGGAGGAATAACATCTTGTAGGAGTGAGGAAGAGCCAGTTGTGAGTGTGGGGGAAGTTCGTGAGGCAGTAGGTAAAATGAAAGGGGGTAAGGCAGCCGGGATTGATGGGATAAAGATAGAAATGTTAAAAGCAGGTGGGGATATAGTTTTGGAGTGGTTGGTGCAATTATTTAATAAATGTATGGAAGAGGGTAAGGTACCTAGGGATTGGCAGAGAGTATGCATAGTTCCTTTGTATAAAGGCAAAGGGGACAAAAGAGAGTGCAAAAATTATAGGGGGATAAGTCTGTTGAGTATACCTGGTAAAGTGTATGGTAGAGTTATTATTGAAAGAATTAAGAGTAAGACGGAGAATAGGATAGCAGATGAACAAGGAGGCTTTAGGAAAGGTAGGGGGTGTGTGGACCAGGTGTTTACAGTGAAACATATAAGTGAACAGTATTTAGATAAGTCTAAAGAGGTCTTTGTGGCATTTATGGATTTGGAAAAGGCGTATGACAGGGTGGATAGGGAGGCAGTGTGGCAGATGTTGCAGGTGTATGGTGTAGGAGGTAGGTTACTGAAAGCAGTGAAGAGTTTTTATGAGGATAGTGAGGCTCAAGTTAGAGTATGTAGGAAAGAGGGAAATTATTTCCCAGTAAAAGTAGGCCTTAGACAAGGATGTGTGATGTCACCGTGGTTGTTTAATATATATATAGATTGGGTTGGAAGAGAAGTAAATGCGAGGGTCTTGGCAAGAGGCGTGGAGTTAAAAGATAAAGAACCACACATAAAGTGGGAGTTGTCACAGTTGCTCTTTGCTGATGACACTGTGCTCTTGGGAGATTCTGAAGAGAAGTTGCAGAGATTGGTGGATGAATTGGTAGGGTGTGCAAAAGAAGAAAATTAAAAGTGAATACAGAAAAGAGTAAGGTTATGAGGATAACAAAAAGATTAGGTGATGAAAGATTGGATATCAGATTGGAGGGAGAGAGTATGGAGGAGGTGAATGTATTCAGATATTTGGGAGTGGACGTGTCAGCGGAGGGGTCTATGAAAGATGAGGTGAATCATAGAATTGATGAGGGAAAAGGGTGAGTGGTGCACTTAGGAGTCTGTGGAGACAAAGAACTTTGTCCTTGGAGGCAAAGAGGGGAATGTATGAGAGTATAGTTTTACCAACGCTCTTATATGGGTGTGAAGCATGGGTGATGAATGTTGCAGCGAGGAGAAGGCTGGAGGCAGTGGAGATGTCATGTCTGAGGGCAATGTGTGGTGTGAATATAATGCAGAGAATTCGTAGTTTGGAAGTTAGGAGGAGGTGTGGGATTACCAAAACTGTTGTCCAGAGGGCTGAGGAAGGGTTGTTGAGGTGGTTCGGACATGTAGAGAGAATGGAACAAAACAGAATGACTTCGAGAGTGTATAAATCTGTAGTGGAGGGAAGGCGGGGTAGGGGTCGGCCTAGGAAGGGTTGGAGGGAGGGGGTAAAGGAGGTTTTGTGTGCGAGGGGCTTGGACTTTCAGCAGGCATGCGTGAGCGTGTTTGATAGGAGTGAATGGAGACAAATGGTTTTTAATACTTGACGTGATGTTGGAGTGTGAGCAGAGTAACATTTGTGAAGGGATTCAGGGAAACCGGCAGGCCGGACTTGAGTCCTGGAGATGGGAAGTACAGTGCCTGCACTCTGAAGGAGGGGTGTTAATGTTGCAGTTTAAAAACTGTAGTGTAAAGCACCCTTCTGGCAAGACAGTGATGGAATAAATGATGGTGAAAGTTTTTCTTTTTCGGGCCACCCTGCCTTGGTGGGAATCGGCTAGTGTGATAATAAAAAATAATTCTATTACTAAATTTATTTTTTGTTAATATTTTTGGGTGTCTGGAATGGATTAGTTGGATTTACATTATTTCTTGTGGGAAATATTACTTTGGTTTTCATCCATTTCGGATTTTGACCAACCTTCTGGAATGGATTAAGGACGAAAACTGGGGGTCCACTGTACTACATTTACGTAATGCTGATTTTTTCTTCTTCAGAATTATTGCATCATTACACAAATAACCCGCACATAAAAGAGAGAAGCTTACGACGATGTTTCAGTCCGAGTTGAACCATTGACAAAGTTACACTGGTCCAAGTCGGACCGAAGCGTCGTCATAAGCTTCTCTCTTTTATGTGCGGGTTATTTGTGTATCATTCCAGTCATGGTATTGTGCCTTTTTTGTTATTTAGTGCATCATTATATGATAGACTTGCAAATTAATTACTGAATATAAAAAGAACATAAACTTTATAGTTTTCTCCATTTTCATGTCACCCTGCCTTGGTGGGAGATGGCTGGTATGTTAATAAAAAAAACACAAATTAACATATTTAAGGGACAGGTACATTTTGTTTATCTCATCAGCCATTTCCTACCAACTCCATGTGAGTCAGTGAAGGAAACGTATTCACTAGCGCTTATTCTCTAATTGTTATGCCAGAATTAGAGACAACATAATTTAAGTAACTAAACTCTAGCATCCCCAACTGATTGGTTTACCCTGAATCCCTTCATAAATTTTATCTTTCTTTTACTTTACCAATATATCAGAACCCAAAAACCACTGATTTCTACTCACTACAGTCACACATTCTCCCACATTACTGCTGGATAAAATGAAAAGAAGAAAAAAAAAAGATGCTGAGATAAAAGCAGGATAACTACTGTACATCTCCATGGGAAAATGGAAAAAGAATTCTTCCTCTGTTAGCCATGCATGTCATAAAAGGTGACTAAAATGCCTGGAACAAGGGGGTAGTAACCCGTTCTCCTGTATAAATTACTAAATTTAAAAAGAATAACTTTCATTTTTCATTTTAGGTCACCCTGCCTTGGTGGGATACGGCTGGTTCATTAAAAAAAAATCTGTGATACCTGTTATTATACCTTCATGTTTAATTACTTGTGCCATTATATTATGTTCCAAGACTAGGGTTTAACATGTTCACTTCAATAGATTTCACTACAGCAATTGTTCCTTTCAGATTCATAGGAATGGGAGGATGACACTTCATTATGGTGACTTGACCGACTCCACCTGCCTCGTTAAAATCATCTCTGCAGTGCAACCAGATGAGATTTACAATCTTGGTGCTCAGAGCCATGTTAGGGTGTGTATACTTATCTGGTGTTGCTTATGGAAATACTGAGTCCCTATACATATTTGATTGTTTGCTTTTGTAAGGTAGAACTACACATGGTCCAGAGCAAATCATATACATGTACCGTATTATAGAATACATTTTGCTCCTGGCAGAGCTGTATCAAGTCTTCAGTGCTGTATGCCCCTTATGGGATTAGCACTGAATTTGGTTATAATATAATAATTTACCAAGTCCTGATAAAGCTCTACCCAGAGTGAAAAATATCCAGTGATAGAGGTTTGCTCTGCCATACTTGTCTACAGGACTTGCCATTCTACATTTATTTTTCTCTTTAAAACCTGACAAAGCAGTATTATCATAGGAGCTATGCAGATTTCCCCTAAATTTGAAGACATTTCCAAAAAGTAAATAGATATCAGAAAACTTAAGGCCTTGAAAAATTCATATACGTATATGGAAAATGCTACAAGTAGATGTGAACCTTCATGTTGATTGCTGACCAAATCTTAAGAGCATGAGAGGTGGGGATGTTGCAGTTTAAAGGGTCATCTAACTGTGATGTCAGCACACTTCTGTCCAAGGTAGTGGTTGAATGAGTGACAGTGAAGGTGTTTCTTCTTTTTTTGGTCATCCTGCTTTGGTGATGGGAGGTGGCTGGTGTGTTAATTAAATCAAAAAGAGCCTGATCAGTATTGAAGAGAGAACAGAGGATGCTTATTTTCAGCCTTTTTTTTATGACTTGATAAAGCTCTACCCAGAGCAAAATCTTGTCTAGTAAAGGTTTGCTCTGCATCAGATGTCTTTACCATACTTGTCAGCAATTCCTGCTGCCTTGCAGAATGTCTTCTTTCTTTTAATGACTTCTTTGAAATGCCTTTATTATTACATTAGCTTAGGAGTAAATTTTAAGAACTGAATGCTGTTTTAAACAGAACTTAAGAACTTCATCAAGGGCTTAAATAGAATCAAGTCAGCATTGTATAAGGAGATAGCATGTCTGCTTCACACCCATGAGGACTGTGGGTCGATTTCCTTATCATTTCTCCCTCATTTTACAACATATTGGTACCTCTTTTTGTTAAACTGTGCATTACGTTCCCATGAAGACCTCTGCTGGTTATGAAAACCTCTTACCTGCAACCTTCTTTAACTGTAAAACAGTTTTTTTCTCTTAAAGTAAAGCTTCAAAGCACTTGCTAATTTAGATCTTGCATTGTTTGAGTTGAACTCCAGCAACCAATTATATGATCACCAAAAAGAACAAAAAGGCACAATACTGTGACTGGAATAATACACAAATAAACCACACATGGACCGGGCCGTGGGGGCGTTGATCCCCGGAATAACCTCCAGGTAACCTCCTCCAGGTATGGGAGAGAGGAGCTAACAATGACATATTGATCCGACTAAGACCATTTACAAAGCCTGTTCCTGTTCCTCTATGATTTTTATCCAACTCATCACTTTAACATCTAGTTAACCCAGATTAATACCTCTCTTCACTCATAGTCTGATTTAAAATTATATCTGTACTTGCAGCATTTTAGGAATGTATATATCTACTTATGATGCTTTCCCTGTCTCCATAAAAACTTTTTCAGTACTTTTTGATTTGTAAGGACAAGAATTCAGTAGTGTAAAAAAAGTTCCATTTTTATTGCAAGTGAAAATTTCTCTTGGAGATAATTGTCATTTGATGACCTACCAGAGGGGAGTTTTGGTCATGGGACTGAAGCCTTCTTCTGGCTTACTGCTTTATCCTGAAAAAATTAACTTACCCATATATCACAGGATAAATCCACCCCTCCCTGTGCTTTGGTAACTTTGCTAATCTATTCTTGATCACAGGGAAAGAATTTGATAATCTGACTGTCACATTTGTGAAGGGAAGAGATTTGTAAGTTTTGTTCTGTATGCAAGAAGTACTCATGTGGAGGGACATGAATTTTTCCTAACTCCTCCACTGTTTTCATACTTTCAAACAAGTAATTATTTCACCTTGGTTGAGGAGTGCTGGTTTTAGTTGGGCAGAAAATAGCTTCTCATCTTGTCTTAATTTGATGGTGATTATGTCATTATAGCTATAAGAGCAAAGCAACCTCATGGTGTCCCGTCTTCAGCATTTAGCCAGGCAAAAGATTTTTTTTAGTTTTCAGTAGTTGTAGCACATGCTATCTCCTCTGGTAAACCATTCCATTGATCTGTTGTACGACAAAGAAAAACTTTTTTGTGGCCTTTCAACAGCTCTTCTTTGTTACTTTATAGTTATGGCTTTGCTATGTCAGGTGCTGGAGTTAAGAAGTCTTTGTTGTAGGGATGGAATGATACTAATTTGTTGGCCAATACCAATACTCAGAACAGGCCCATACCAATATAATCAAAATTGCCCAATACCTACCAATACTGATGCAGATATAATCAAAATTGACCAATACCTACCAATACCAGTACTCTGTCATAGGCATATACCATCTGATGAGCGATAACTACCATTACTGATACCAATACTTTGGTACCCTCCCTACCATTTTGTAAATTGTGCAGCTGTCACCCAGCAGGTGTTACCCACATAAGTAGAAGCTTGTTCTACCTTACATTGTGTCCTTCCTGCTCATAATCTGTTATTGCAAATTCTATTTTAAAGTACAGTATTTCTAAGATAAATTTTATTATTTCAGGTCTCTTTTGACATGGCTGAATATACAGGAAATGTTGATGCTATGGGAACACTGCGACTGCTAGATGCAATCAGAACATGTGGCCTAGAAAAGAAAGTGAGATTCTACCAGGCATCCACATCTGAACTTTATGGTAAAGTTCAAGAAATTCCACAGAAAGAAACAACCCCATTCTATCCAAGATCTCCCTATGGTAAGAATATACTGTAGTATATGATTTGTATATAAGCCATAAACTGAGGGACTCAAAGTTTAGCTAACAATGCATCTTATTTAACTATGTAATAGTAGCAGTGATGCTGTTTAGTATGTTATTTAAATTCCAGTGTCTGTGCACTTCTGGCAAAACAGCTATTGAATGAACAATGGTGAATTTCTTTCCTTTAGTAGGTGACCCCACCTTGGTGGGAGATTTTTGATATGTTAAAAAATAATAATTTATGTTAAGAAATAAAATAAATGCTTAACTCAGATACTGGGTATAATTGAGGAGTTATTTTCTGGCTGAGAGTCTAATGTTCTACCTTAAGTGCAAATCTTCCTGACAATAGAATTGTTAATATTAATTTGGTTTAACCCTTGGAGAGTCCACAGGCCAATTCTCAGAGTGACAGCCAGGGTATTTTTTTTTTTTTAACAAGTCACCGAGGCAGGGTGACCCAAAAAGAAAGAAAATCCCCAAAAAGAAAATACTTTCATCATCATTCAACACTTTCACCTCACTCACACATAATCACTGTTTTTGCAGAGGTGCTCAGAATACAATAGTTTAGAAGCATATAAGTATAAAGATACACAACATATCCCTCCAAACTGCCAATATCCCAGACCCCTCCTTTAAAGTGCAGGCATTGTACTTCCCACTTCCAAGACTCAAATCCAGCTATATAAAAATAATCGGTTTCCCTGAATCCCTTCACGCTGGGAATTGAACCCAGACAGTCGTCGTTTGAAGTGAGAGCTTTAGCCACCAGCCATTTCCTATTAATGACAGGGTAGCCTAAACAAGAAAACACATTAATGAATTATACGTGCAACACTTGTTGATTCTCTGAACCGACAAGTGTTGCATTTACAAGAAAATACATTCCCCATCACATCTACTTAGCTGTCCTCCCAGAAGGATACAGACATCATTAGTAATGATGACCCACTAATCTGCAACAGTCCCCCAGCTTTCAAAGTGAAAGCATCAGATTTTCTGTTTACAAAACTCAAATCCAGCTAGTCAGCTACTTTGAGTCTTTTCTTAAGAGTCTACCATGCTCCCACTCACACAGCACCTCAAATTTTAATGATAGCTTAACCCTTCATAATGGTCTAGGATGCATCAGAACATCATTTAAAGTTTCTTGTGACTTATTTTTCACCCTTAAGGTTTCTTTTCTTTCTTTCAACACACTGGCCATATCCCACCAAGGCAGGGTGGCCCAAAAAGAAAAACAAAAGTTTCTCTTAAATTTAGTAATTTATACGGGAGAAGGGGTTACTAGCCCCTTGCTCCTGGCATTTTAGTCGTCTCTTACAACACGCATGGCTTACGGAGGAAGAATTCTGTTCCACTTCCCCATGGAGATAAGAGGAAATAAACAAGAACAAGAACTAGAAAGAAAATAGAATACCCAGAGGGGTGTGTATATATATGCTTGTACATGTATGTGTAGTGTGACCTAAGTGCAAGTAGAAGTAGCAAGACATACCTGAAGGTTTATCTTAATTAAATATGTATTTCTTTTTGTGCCTCTATACAGTTTTTTTTTCAATGAACCAGCCATATCCCACCAAGGCAGGGTGACCTAAAAAGAAAAATGAAAGTTTTCCTTTATAAATTTAATAATTCATATAGTATAATGGGTTACTAGCCCCTTGCTCCCGTCATTTTAGTCGCCTCTGATGACATGCATGGCTTACGGAGGAAGAATTCTTTTCCGCTTCCCCATGGAGGACAGTATAAATATTAATTTTTTTTTTTTTTTTAGGTGCTGCTAAACTGTATGCTTACTGGATTGTGGTAAACTACAGAGAAGCTTATGACATGTATGCCTGTAATGGAATCTTGTTTAACCATGAGTCTCCAAGAAGAGGTGAAACATTTGTGACTCGCAAGATCACTCGATCAGTAGCCAAGATTCATCTGGGACACTTAGAAAAATTTGAGCTTGGAAATCTTGATTCACAGAGAGACTGGGGACATGCCAAAGACTATGTTGAGGTAATATATTTAGATAAATCATTTATGTATCAAATTTACTTGACATCCAGTAACAGTAACGTATTAGTTTATTTTCATAATAATAGTAATAAACAGTAGTTTAGCTATTAACCCTTTCAGGGTCCCCAGGCCCTCTCCCAGACTTGTTCTCAGGGTCGCCCAAATTTCCAAAAAAAAAAAAAAAAAAAAATTCTTATGAAAAGATAGAGAATCTTTTCCTGATCATAATGACACCAGAAGTATGAAATTTGATGGAAAACTTACGGAATTATGCTCTCGCGAAGTTAGCGGTCTCAACGATGTTTACGCATCGGCGATTTTGCCCACTTTGAGCCCTATTTTCGGCCAATTCCAGTGTACTAGTCGACAATAATCATAACTATTTCACTAGAACTCCATTTTTTCTATCAAATGAGTACAAGAAACCACCCATTTACTAATTTCAACTATCCAATACAGTGGCAAATTTAGCAATTTTGCCAATTTTTACACAATTTCAAAAGATGCCAATTTCCAAATAGGGTCCAAAATAAACAAGAAAGACATTCCTGGCACTAAAATAACATTTCCTGTGTTCATTAGTCACGTCCCCATGCCCCTCTTACATTCTTTTGCTTTCCACTTTGAATTTTTATTCTCACAAAAAATAGAAGATTTACTGTTATGCAGACTACTGCATTAGTGTAGAAATGGTATAAATAATATCGGCGCACTTGTGGAAGAATATTAGACTCGCCAGTTGACGTGTATTGGACGCTTAGCATGATTTTGAACTTTGGTAAAAATCAAACATTTCTGCTACTTTGAGCTCAATTTCAAGGTACTTTTCATTGTAAAACCAGTCAAAATCATCTCAATTTCTGTAAAATGTCTTCCATTCTATAAAATGAGACAGGAAAACTAGAATACAACAATAAATACCATACGAAAATACAGTGCAAAGTCGCGGTTTTAATCCAGAAACACGGTCAGTTTTTTTTTCTCATTACGCACTGTGTGCTGCAGGATTTTTTTTTTATACTGCGCACACTGACCACATAGACCCATTCTTTCATATGTAGGCCTACCAGCTTTCTCTCACTAGATTTGAGGGCGCTAGAATTTAGGCGTACTAGTACGTCAAAAAACCTGGTGCATAAGCCGTACTAGTACGTCAAAAACCCTGAAAGGGTTAATGCACTCACATAAGCCTGCTGGATGTTCAAGCCCCTATTACTCAAATTCTCTTCTACTCATTCCCTTCAACCTTTCCTTGGATGACCTCCTACTCCTTTGTCTCCTTGAATATAATGATACATTATTTGATGGAGTGAATTACAGGGTAATGTAGTGATGATGATAATTATAATGTTTCCATTTATAATGTTATGGTTATTAATATGTTCCTTGTAATTTACTATGCAGGGTATGTGGAGGATCTTACAACAGGACAAGCCTGATGACTTTGTGTTGGCCACAGGAGAGGTTCACTCTGTGAAGGACTTTGTTGAGGCTGCCTTTAAAGAGGTCAGTTAACCTGTACTGTTGCTAGTTACTACTGTGCTCACAGTATGTTCCTTCTACATTTAGTTATCACTGTGCTGAAGATCTGATCCTTCTACTTATAGTTATCACCGTGCTGAAGAGTTGTTCCCTTTATCCATAGTTATCACTGCTGAAGATTTGTTCCTTCTACCAATAGTTATCACCATGCTGGAGATTTGTTCCCTGTACTTAAAATTATCAATGTTCTTTCTCACCTATAGTTATCAATGTTCTCTCTTGCCTATAGTTATCAATGTTCTCTCTACCTATACATTTATATATCATGACATCTATACATTTTGCTGTACACTAAAACTTGTTGAAAAAAAAAAAAAAAAAAAATATATATATATATATTATAGTAGTAGGTTGGTAGACAGCAACCGCCCAGGGAGGTACTACCGTCCTGCCAAGTGAGTGTAAAACGAAGCCTGTGATTGTTTTACATGATGGTAGGATTGCTGGTGTCCTTTTTTCTGTCTCATGAACATGCAAGATTTCAGGTACGTCTTGCTACTTCTACTTACACTTAGGTCACACTACACATACATGTACAAGCACATATATACACACCCCTCTGGGTTTTCTTCTATTTTCTTTCTAGTTCTTATTCTTGTTTATTTCCTCTTATCTCCATGGGGAAGTGGAACAGAATTCTTCCTCCGTAAGCCATGCGTGTTGTAAGAGGCGACTAAAATGCCGGGAGCAAGGGGCTAGTAACCTCTTCTCCTGTATATATTACTAAATGTAAAAGGAGAAACTTTCGTTTTTCCTTTTGGGCCACCCTGCCTCGGTGGGATACGGCCGGTGTGTTGAAAGAAAGAATTATAGTAGTAGGTTGGTAGACAGCAACCGCCCAGGGAGGTACTACCGTCCTGCCAAGTGAGTGTAAAACGAAGCCTGTGATTGTTTTACATGATGGTAGGATTGCTGGTGTCCATTTTTCTGTCTCATAAACATGCAAGGTTTCAGGTACATCTTGCTACTTCTACTTACACTTAGGTCACACTACACACACATGTACAAGCATATATATACACACCTCTGGTTTTTCTTCTTTTTATTACTAAGTTTTGTCTTGTTTGATTTTCTCTTACCTCCATGGGGAAGTGGAACAGAATTCTTCCTCCGTAAGCCATGCGTGTTGTAGGAGGCGACTAAAATGCCGGGAGCAAGTGGCTAGTAACCTCTTCTCCTGTATATATTACTAAATGTAAAAGGAGAAACTTTCTTTTTCCTTTTGGGCCACCCCGCCTCGGTCGGATACGGCCGGTGTGTTGAAAGAAGAAAGATATATACAGTGGACCCCCGCATAGCGAACTTAATCCGTGCAAGAGGGCTGGTAGTTTTGCGAAATGGTCGCTATGCGAATTAATTTTCCCCATAAGAAATAATGGAAATAAAATTAATCCGTGCAAGACACCCAAAAGTTATTTATTTTTATTATTATCACACCGGCCGATTCCCACCAAGGCAGGGTGGCCCGAAAAAGAAAAACTTACCCATCATTCACTCCATCTCTGTCTTGCAAGAAGGTGCTTTACACACTGTTTGTAAACTGCAACATTAACACCTCCTGCAGAGTGGCGGCACTGTACTTCCCATCTCCAGGACTCAGTCCGGCCTGCCGGTTGCCCTGATCCCTCATAATGTTATTTGCTCACCCTCCACAGCAGTCAAGTATTAATTATAACCATTTGGCTCCATTCCACTCGTATCAAACACGCTCACGCATGCCTGCTGGAAGTCAAGCCCCTCGCACACAAAAACCTCCTTTACCCCCTCCCTCCAACTTTCCTAGGCCGACCTACCCCGCCTGCCTTGCACTACAGACTGATACACTCTTGAAAGTCATTCTGTTTCGCTCACATTCTCTCGACATGTCGTACCACCTCAACAACCTTCCTCAGCCCTCTGGACAACCGTTTTGGTAATCCCGCACTCCTCCTAACTTCCAAACTACGAATTTCGGCAGTATTTTCACACCACACATTGCCTCAGGACATGACATCTCCACTGCATCCTGCCTTCTCCTCGCTGGCAACCATTCATCACCATGCTTCACACCCATATAAGAGCGTTGGTAAAATCTATTCTTCTCATACTTTCCCTCTTTGCCTCAAGGTCAAGTTCTTTGTCTCCAACGACTCCTAGTGCACCACTCCACGCTTTTTTCCCTCATCAATTCTATGATGCTCTCTCATCTGTCCTAGTGACCCATCCGCTGACACGTCACTCCCTAATATCTGAAGACATTCACCGCCTCCATACTCTCTCCTCTCCCATTCTGTTATGTCAATCTTTCTATCACCGAATCTTTGTTGTTTTCCTCATAACCTTACTCTTTCCGGTCTTCACCTTTCATTTTCTTCTTTTGACACTCCCAAATTCATCCACCAATTCTGCAACTTCTCTTCAGGATTCCCATAGTGAGCACAGTGTATCAGCCAAAGGAGCAGCTGTGGACAACTCCACTTTGTGTGTGATTCTTTATCTTTTAACTCACGCTCTTGCCAAGACCCTCGCATTTACTTCTCTTACAAACCCATCTATAAAATATATGAAACAACCGCACGGTGACATCACACATCCTCTGTCTAAGGCCTACCTTTACTGGAAAAATGTTCCTGTCTTTCCTACATACTCTAACTTGAGCCTTCACTATCCTCGTTAAAAACTCTTCATGCTTTCAGTAACCTTACCTCCTACACCATACACTTGCAAACATCTGCCACATTGCCCCCTTATCCACCTGTTCATAGGACCCTTTCCAAATCCATAATGCCAAAAGTCCCTCTTTAGCTTTATCTAAATACTGTTCCACTTATATGTTTCACTGTAAAACACCTGGTCCACACTACCCCATACCTTTCCTAAAGCCTCCTGGTTCATCTGCTATCCTATTCTCGTCATACTCTTAATTCTTTCAATATATAACTCTCCATACACTGCACAGGTACACTCAACAGAATTCGCACCCTATAATTTATGCACTCTTTTTTCCCCTTTGCCTGTTATACAAATGGAACTATGCATGCTTCTGCACAATCCCTCAGGGTACATTACACTCTTCCATACCATTTATTAATTAATTGCACCAACCACTCGCCAAAACTATATCCCCATGCTTTTTAAATTTCTATCTTTATCCCTTCAATCCGGCTGCCTTACCCCACTTTCTTTTTGCTACTGCCTCACGACTTCCCCCACACTCCAATCTGCTCTTCCCTCATCCTTACAGTTGTTATTCCTCCTTGGCCCGATACTCGAAATCTCAGCTTCCCTATCTTCATCAAACATTTAACAATTCCTCAAAATTTCCTTCCATCGTCCCAATACCTCTAACTCTCCATTTAATAAAAACTCTCCTCTCCTATTTTGAACTGACAAATCCATTAGATTCGCTAGGCTTTCTTAACTTGTTATCTCACTCCAAAATTTTTCTTCTATTTTCAACAAAATTTGTTGATAACATCTCACCACTCTCTCATTTGCTCTCTTTTGTACATTGCTTCACCACTCTCTTCACTTCTCCTCTTTGTTCTCCATATACTAATGTCCCTCCTTGATCACGTCTACTTTGTAAAAACTCTCATATGTCTAATTTTCTCCCTTACTACTCTCTTTACATCATCTTTCCACCAATCTCTCCGCTTCCCTCTGCACCCACTTTACTGTAACCACAAATTCTGCTGAAAACACTCTAACTCTACATTTTTAAACTACCCCTACCTCTCGACCCCATTGGCTATGCTTCTCATTAGCCCCATCTATCCTCCATTAGCGGTTTAGATCTTACCCTAACTGCCTCCTCTTTGAGTTTATAAACCTTCACCTCTCTCTTCCTGATGCTTCTATTCGCCTTGTATCCCATCTACTTGTTATCTCTCAGTGTAAGCTTACTACTATAGAAGTGTCTGATTTACGTCTGTGGACCATCTATAAAACATGTACATCTGAAGTCTACTCAACAGTCTTTTATCTTCCAATACATAATTCAACAAACTTCTGTCATTTCGACCTACTATCATATGTGTATGACTTATTTATTATCTTTTTCTTTAAAATATGTTTGTACATATAACTAAACCCCTTTTCGATACATAGTTCATTCAAAGGGCTCATTATATTTAAACTGGACCCAAACCTTACCTACCACACCCTCTCTAAAAGTTTCTCCTACTTTAGCATGTCAGTCCCCTACCACCAATTACTCTCTCACTTGGTTCAAAGGCTCCTATACAAATTTTTTTCACTGAACAGTCTCCCAATATCTCTCTTTCTCTGCATTCCTTCTTTCTCAGGTGTCATACACGCTTATTTGACCCACTTCTCGCACCAACCTTGACTTTAATCCACATTATTTCTTGAATTTACACTTTCATATTCTCTTTTCTTTCCCTAACTGATCATTTAACATTACTGACTACCCCGTCCTTTTGCTCTAACTCTCTCAGATACTCCAGATTTACTCCATTTATTTCCCCCCACTGAAACTCTCCTACCCCCTTCAAGCTTTGTTTCGCTTAGGGCCAGGACATCCAACTTTTTTCAATTTCATAACAGCAGAACCCCCAAAACCCCCCCCCACCACAAAAAACCAATCATCTGTTTCTTTGTCATCCGCAGATACATCCACACACATTTAGCAATCCCAGTTTTATAATGTTTCTTCTTCTCTTTTTTAGTAATTGTATACAGGAGAAGGGGTTACTAGCCCATTGCTCCCGGCATTTTAGTCGCCTCATACGACATGCATGGCTTACGGAGGAAAGATTCTTTTCCACTTCCCCATGGACAATAGAAGAAATAAAAAAGAACAAGAGCTATTTAGAAAAAGGAGAAAAAACCTCGATGTATGTATATAGATATATGCATGTGCGTGTCTGTGAAGTGTGACCAAAGTGTAAGTAGGAGTAGCAAGATATCCCTGTTATCTTAGCGTATGAAAAAAAAAATTTTTTACCACAAAAAAATGTTAATTTTAGTACACACAAACTGAAAAA